GTTGTGTGTTGGTTGGCTGAGGAGACATTCATTTGGCTTGTTGTGGATTTTCTGGGCTTCCTGGCAATGCTCCAGAAGCATTCTCTCCTGACGTTTCGTCCACATCTACGACAAGCATCCTCAGAGGTTGTGAGGTCTGTTGGAAACTAGGAAAATTGGGTTTATATATCTGTGGAATGTGTTTGCATGGGGATCCTCTGCCCTAGTTCCAGGCGAAATGAACCGTGCTGACTCCCCAGCTCTTGTTATGTAAATACATGGTAAACAACAACAACAACTGGGTGTGGAGCTTCGGCAGGGGCGTTTGCAGGCGGCTCTCCTTTTTCTGCTCGAGGGAAACTGGGATCACAGAACTAGAAATTCTGGAAATGCATTGCAAGCGGCTTCCAACCATTCTGGGCTGTGCTGGTGTTCTCTCCGTTGTGTGTCAAAACGGGTCCGTGGTCATTGTGGCACTGAGTTTGGAGCAAGGCCTAGAAAATACCAGTTGGGACTGCTTTGAGGCTCTCTCCACCCGCACGCAACCCCTTGACTTGGGAGTTGGTTGCATTTGCCCCATTTTCTTTGCTCCTTGTCTATTGTTGCTATCAAGGCTAGACTAGAAATCCTTGGGGGCGCCACCAGGCTTTTCCTCAAGAGCTTATCTTGCTGGCACTTTCACCCCCTTCCTCCCAAAGCATTTCCTTTGCTGTCCTCGACTTCAGAGGTCCGTGCCGGCGCCTTTGCCACGTGGCGGGCATTTGTCCCTTGTGGGAACGCGGGATGAGCATGTCCCTTTCCCGAGACAATGGCTGCTTAGCGGCTTCAGCACAAAGGGTTTCCAGTCCTTCCATCTCCGTGTGCGTGTGCCCACTTGCTCCCTCCTTCTCTTTGAGAGAGCCAGCGGGTAGGGAAGGGCACGTCCTGGGCCCCACCGGGCGTGGCCGTGTTTGGTGTGGTTGTTGCTACTAAGCAGGCTTTGCAGCAATGGTGAACGTGATTCGGTGCTAATTGGCATCGATCATTAAGCCGTTTTCTGCCTTGGGCCATTAGAGCCTGGTGCCAGCAGGTTGGCAGCGGCGTCAGCGGCGTCCTGCCTCCCATCCTTGGGGACCCCAGTTAGAATCTTTGATTTGGAAGAGACCTCGTGGGCCATCCAGTCCAACCCCATTCTGACAAGAATTAGAAAAATCGCATTCAAAGAGATCCAGAGCTGGGGAATGGAGGTGCTCAGAGCCCTAGCCAAGGGAGATTGCCGGGTGTGTGGCCGGCTTTTGGACCCTCTGTTGTGGAGGTTTTGGTTGAGCCAGCCCTTCTTTCTTGGGGGCACAAATACCCCAAAGTCCACGGTGGCCTTGAGGGATGTGTATGCTCAGTGGTCGCCCTGGAAAGCGTGCTCGGTGCATGCATTCGAGTGCTGGTGGTACAACGTAAGAATGGGCCTGGTTCTAATTTTAGCCTCCCGTCAGTCAGTTGTCGTCAGTCTCGCTGGCAGGTGGCTCCTTGGTGCCGTAAAAGGAGGGGCTGGGCGTCCTCGTATCAAGATACATAGAAAGAGGCCTTTGTGTCTTTGCACTTTGAAAGGACAGCGCCTTCAAGGCCTTCAAGGCCACAGAAAAGCAAAAGGTATTGCAGAACAGGCTCGCCCTTGGAGGATTGCAACGAGCTTAGCGATTAGCTAATCTCACATGCCTCGAAACCCACACGGCGCAGAGCTTGGTTTCCTATGTTTTCTCTGGCTCTCCCTTTTGTGTTGCTGGCTTCTCGTTTGGCTCTGTTTGCAGTGGCCTTCCTGGAAAGGCTGACGTGGGTCCGCAGGTACAGAGCAAAGGTTTCCCAGGCTCCGGGAAGGTCACAGTGGTTCTCTATCCCATCTTGGCCAATGCCATGCGGACGCTCCTATCATCCTCCCCTTTGAAAGCGTCGCTCCGGTGTCCTCCAGCGGCTGGCCATTGTTCTGCTGCTGGCACTGCTGCAGTGTCTGCTCCTATGATGCAGTGCTGCAGAGCCCCCTTCTTTTCCCTCCCAGCGCTTCAGTCGTGTGAAGGAATGCAGGTCCCCTCCCAGCGCAAGCAGCCGGGCAGAGGAAGGTGACCCAAGGGTAGAGCGTGACCACGGCAACATGCACTGGCTTCCATTGTAGTATTTAACTGCTGTTGTTGTTACCTCAACTACTGTAATTGTAGAGCCGGCTACTGCCTCCCTCTGCCCGCTCCTTGCAGCGCCACTGTCAGGCTTAGTCCCTACTTAGAGGGCGTAGGAGCAGATCCGTGGAACCTTGTGACTGCACACACGTGAGCACCTAGGCCAGGATTGGGGCTTCATGGGTCTCTTCCGCATGCTCTCCTTTTATGTCGCTTTCTCTTTATACTCTCATTAACTTCTGCACCCGAGAAATTATCTTCAGACAGCTGCTCTGAGAAAGACTGCGAAGGGCCTCTCCCAGGAATGTGGCCTTGCGAGTCTTCCTGACACAGCTTGGGCCGCTCGTCTGATCTTAGGCCCAGGCAAGCCTGCCTCCCCATTGCCAACAGACCCAGGCCCACCATTGGGAACATCCCCATTCCCAGCATGAACATCAGACACAACCACAGGCTGACATACAACATAGGCCAGGATTGGGGCTTCATGGGTCTCGCATGGCTGTGGATCCAGCAGCCTCCTGTCAGCCCCGTGTTGTGGGTTCCTGACTAGTGCTTGTTCTTCGGGGCCTTTCCCAGCCAAGGACCTTTCCTGCCACTCGCCCTTTTGGACTTGATGTGGCCCTGAACCCTCCTCCACTGGGGCTGGCAAGTATCTTACGTGAAAAGAGGCTTGCATCAGTGTGTTGTTGGATTTCTTGAATCACTCCACACGAATTGGAGCCAATTCCTATCATGCAAGTGCCGCACTGGCTTCCTCCTTCCCGCTTTCCCTCAGAATGTTGTTCTTTATTTACTGTCCTGATTGACAGTAAATAGAGTTGTGTTCCTTTTCATGCTTTCCTCCTTTCTCTTGACATTGTCCACATGCTTCTTGTGGATGTCAGTGGCTTCTCTGTGCTGTCCGACATGGTGGTTGTGAGAGTGGTCCATCATTTCTGTGTTCTCCAATCATATGCTGTGTCCAGATTGGTTCATTGCGTGCTCTGCTATGGCTAACTTCTCTGGTTGAGTTAGTCTGCAGTGCCTTCCATCTTCCTTGATTCGTGTCTAGGCAACGTTGCATTTGGTGGTCCCTATGGAGACTTGTCCACAGCTGCATTGTATCTGGTAGACTCCTGCAGAAGTGAGAGGATCATTGGTTGGATTTTCTTGGTGGGTCTGTAGATAGTTTGTAGGTTGTGTTCCTCAGCTTCCCAATGCAGTCAGTGGTCCCCTTTCCTCTGGGTAGCTCTTTGCCTTGACTATCTTACTTGTTCTCGGTCTTGCGCTCTTCTGGTGCCTATGGTGGAGTCTCCATTGGTCTGGAGAGCCCAGTTGAGGTGGTTCCATTCCCTTTGGAGGAGGTGGGCTTCGCAGATTCTTTTTGCATGGTCTGGCAGGGCTTTGATTGTGCTTATTTTTTTACTTGAGTGATGGTTGGAGTTTTTATGTCGGATTCTCTCCATGTGCGTAGGTTTTCTGTAGACTGTGTGGTCCTATGGGATGTTTAGGTGGATGCAGTTGAGGTTCTCCAGGAACTTATTGAGTTCTTCTCCATGGCTCCCAATGGTGAAGTTTTTCTCCACATATTAGAACCATCCAGAAATAGTTTCAACATAGGAGAACAGTGAGCCCATGGCCTTCAAGTCATAGGTAGCAGTGTCTTTGTTTTTCCTCCTAGTCATTGCTAGAAATATTGCTATTCACAAACAGGACTGTGAAACCCAGTTTGTTGTCCTTCTTGGTACTGAAATGAGGGTGCGACCTTATAGTACGAAAGTGTGCCAACTTGCCCTCCCTAGGAAGGTTAGGCAGGCCCCCACACTGCCCTCCTTCCGGAAGGAATGGAAGACACTGATGTTTGGACAACCCTTTGAAAATGTCTAGCCCCAATGGTGTGCAATTAATGTCACAGCACTGCACTTTTGTCCCATGCCCTAGTTTGTTAGCTGAGATTTGCACTATCCTGTTCGCTGCTCCTGTTGACAGTTGGCTATCTTTTACAACCATTCTCATCATAGGTTATGGGGTGCTGTTGGTTTTATCTTGTATTGTGTTGTGTGTTTATTATGCGTTTTTTAAGGCGCATTTGTTCTATACAAAAGTAGCCCCAAGTCCCTTCGGGGAGATAGAGGCAGGGTACAAAAATAAAATTATTATTATTATCATTATCATCATCATCATCATCATCATCATCATCATTTGAAACAAGATCACTATGCTGGTTGTTGTATTGGATCACACATCGGACACTTCCCAAGTGTCTAGGACTGTGTGATGTATCAGCGAATAATGCATGCAGATCCGAGTAGGGTGACCTTTTGCAGCTGACAGATGGTAATTTTGTCAGCGCCGATTGTGTTTAAATGCAGGCCAAGTCTTGAGGCACTGCACCCAGTGTGCCCATCACCACTGGGACCCCCTGACTGGCTTGTGCCAGAGTCTTTGCAGTTCGATCTTTAAATCCTTGTATTGTGTCAGCTTTTCCAGTTGTGTCTCTTCAATCCTGCTGTCACCTGGAATTGCAACATCGACAATCCATACTTGTTTTTTTCCCACGATTGTGAGGTCAGGAGTATTGTGCTATCAGTCTGAATTCGGAAGTCCCAGCATAGTTTGACGTGTTCATTTTCTGTAACTTTTTACGGCTTGTCATCCCTATTATTATTATCATTATTATTATTACTATTATTACTCATATGCTGTATTTCTTCCATCCGAAGACTCACTTTTCCCACAGATAAACATATCTAAAAATGGGGTGTGCCTCAGAATCGCAGGTGTGTCTTACGCCTGTTTGTTGTCTTGCTACTGAAATGAGGGTGCGCTCTTATAGTGCGAAAGTGTGCCGACGTGCCCCTGATCTTCTCTATTTCTCTCTCTCTTCCTCCCTTCTAGATATGGACGTGTGGAGAGCGTCAAGATCCTGCCCAAGCGGGGCTCGGAGGGCGGCGTGGCGGCCTTTGTGGATTTTGTGGACATCAAGAGCGCCCAAAAGGCGCACAACTCTGTCAACAAAATGGGCGACAGGGACCTCCGGACGGATTACAATGAGCCGGGGACCATCCCCAGCGCGGCTCGCGGCTTGGATGATACAGTTTCCCTGGCGTCTCGGAGTAGAGAGGTTTCTGGGTTCAGAGGAGGTGGGGGCGGGCCCTCGGCGTACGGCCCTCCGCCCTCGCTCCATGCACGGGAAGGACGCTATGAACGGAGACTCGACGGGTAAGTGCCAAGGTTTCCTCACAGGGGCAGGTATTTGGGATGTCATGTGGTGAGAAACACGCAAGCGCCTCCTCCTCGGTAAGGGCCCCCCCGATGGATTCAAAAAAAGGGGAGTTGTCTGCGTTTCCTATTTGGGGTTGGCGGCGGAAGTGGAGCCGTCGAGGATATTTACCACGGCTGGTTGGAGACCTGGTCCTCAGGCGGAAGACATCGAGGATGATGGAGCTATTATTCCTCTAGGAACTCGTGGTCCCTTGCCTTGGATAACGTGTGGATCTATCTATCTATCTCTCCGTGCCATCGGGTGGAGTTACTTTGTGGTGGCAAGCCTCACAATCCAGTGTGGAGTATCATCTTCAGATCCTAGCGTCCACAAAGTTCTAGTTTTTCAGGGTTTAGATAAGATTGGGTCGTGGCCAGAAATTATCCCAAGTAAGATGCCTTGGATGCTACAAACCACCTCTAGCGCGTGGGAAATACAGGCGAAGACCTACCTTGGATCTACCTCTCTTGGGATTACCGTTCCTTTTGTGAAGGAGATGGATGGACATGGCTGCCGCCGAGTCTTGGAAATTACAGGCCGGGATAATGGCTCCTGCCTCGTATGTGTATATGGGATGGTCTAGAGGCAGCGATCCCAGTGGGAGTGGATTACTATCTAGTCTGGCTAATCCGTGGACTCTTAAAAGGCGTGGGCATGGCATCGAGGACTGGCTTGTGGAAATGGATTTGGCTGGATACTTACAAAAGAGGATCCGTGCCTTTTGGGGAGTCTTATTCCTGGATTCGGACTCAGGGCTGCAGACGAGACATCTTTACCTTGGATCTATTGAGAAGCTGTGTCCGAAGAGCAAAGCCCGCAAGACACTGGGATGCCTGGCTGATCGTTGGGATTTTTTGGCCGCTTAGGATATTTTTCTCTATTTTTTTTTCTCGGTCGCTCCTCCAAAAAGCCATGTTGACTCCTCCCTTGCCCATTAAAGAAGGTGGATTTACCCCTATGAGAGGGGCCCAAATTGGGGAAGTTATGTTCACAATTCTCTCCCTAGATTTAATGGGGAATGTAGGCCGTGTTTCCACACGTGGAAAAGGTTGGTATGCCCTGCCCTGTGTCTCTTAGCCCCCCTCCTAACCCAAATCGACCCCTCTTTTCCACTAACTCCAGTAGTCCTTAGTACTAATAGATGATGAGAATGCTCCGTGCTGCTGTCGCTCTTAGGTCTCTCGGCTCTGCTCTCTTCCTTCTCCTCCTCCTCCTCTTCCATTTGGATCAGGAGCTCTTTGACCATAACAGGAGTATTGCTGCTGCTTTCCCTCAGCTCCCAGTGATATTTAGACTTCTGTTATCAATAATCATCATCATATTCATGACTTTATTTGTATCCCGCCACCATCTCCCAAAAGGTCTCGGGGCGGCTTACAGGACAGAACATAATCGTGCCTTAGTACACATAAAATACAGGTCAAATTACATCTAACAATATCTCATGACAACAATAAAAGGTCTTTGCTATCTACCTTTGCTTTCCTTCATACATTCCCCCCTATCTCCTTTCTTTCCCTTCTTTTACCTCCCCATCTTTTCCCTCTCTCCCCTTCCTCCTTTTGTCTCTTCTTTCTTCCCTTCCTTCCTCTTCTCTTCTTTCTCTTCCTTCATTTCCTCCCTCCTTTTTCTTTCTTCCCCATCCCTTCCTTCACTATTCCTTTCTTTCCCTTCTTTTCCTCTTCCTTTCTCCCCTTCTTTCATCTCTTCTTTCTTCCCTTCTTTCTCTTCCTTCCTTTCCTCTTTCTCTCCCTTTCCCTCTTTTGTCTCTTCTTTCTTCCCTTCCTTCCTTTCTCTTCCTTTCCTTCTCCATTCCTATCTTTCCATTCTTTCTCCAGCTCTGAGAGAGGGCCTACCTCACAAGGACCCCATGCCAACATGGCTCTCTTTCCCAATGATGTCACAGAGGGCCACTCCACCCAGCAACACCCTTTGTAGTACGGAAAGAGAGACAAATAGGTGGATGGATGAGTGCAGAGGGCTTGTTTATGTGGTCCTTTCCAAAGGAGAGGAATAGAGAGCTCTGGAAGTAAATATATGCACACACATGTACACAGAGAGAGAGTATGGAGAAATTACTGCCTTATTTGCATGCAGCTGCAAATATATATATATGTGTGTGTATATATACATATATACACACACACTCATGTACACACACACAGTCTGGAAAAATTGCTGCCTTATTTGCATGCAGCTGCAAATATATATATATATATGTGTGTGTGTGTGTGTGTGTGTGTGTGTGTGTGTATATATACATATATACACACACACTCATGTACACGCACACAGTCTGGAAAAATTGCTGACTTATTTGCATGCAGCTGCAAATATATACATACATAAACACAGAATATCTGGAAAATTGCTGCCTTATTTGCATGCAGCTGCATATATATATATATATATATATATATATACATACACATATACATATACACATACACACACATATATATATACACATATACACATACATGCACACGCACACACATATACAGTGGAAAAATTGCTACCTTATTTGCATGCATCTGCAAATATATGTGTGTGTATGTGTATATATGTGTGTGTGTATGTATATATATATGCAGCTGCATGCAAATAAGGCAGCAATTTTCCAGATATTCTGTGTTTATGTATGTGTGTGTGTATGTATGTATTTGCAGCTCCATACACACTCATGCACACACACACAGTCTGGAAAAATTGCTGCCTTATTTGCATGCAGCTGCAAATATAAACATGCACACACACATATATATACACACATACATACACACAGAATATCTGGAAAAATTGCTGCTTTATTTGCATGCATCTGCATATATATACACACACACACACATAATATACACATACATACATGCACACACATATAGAGTCTGGAAAAAATTGCTGCCTTATTTGCATACAGCTGCAAATATATACATGCACACACACGCACACATATACATACATACATACACACAGAATATCTGGAGAAATTGCTGCCTTATTTGCATGCAGCTGCATACACACACACACACACATATATACACATACACATACATACATGCACATGCACACACATAAAGAGTCTGGAAAATTGCTGCCTTATTTGCATACAGCTGCAATATACACACACACACACACACACATATATATATATATGCATACATTCACACACACACACATATACATATATATATACACACATATGCACATTCATGCACACACACAGTGTTTGGAAAAATTGCCACCTTATTAGCATGCAGCTGCAAATATATATAAATATATACACATACATACACACACACAGTCTCTGAAAAAATGGCTGCCTTATTTGCATGCAGCTGCAAACAATGGAGGATGTGTGTTGAGCATTTTAAACGGCCGCCTGGAACGATCTTCCCAGGCAGCTCTGGATGGCTGGAGCCATAGGAAGGATCCGTGCAGGCCGGAGCCTTGGGGTCTCCGCCATCTCCAGCCAAGGCCTCAATCCACTCACTCATAGTAAGGCTGGGGTGGGGAATGCAAGACTCTTCTGCCTTGAGACCCAACTGGTCTTTGGGTGTGCACACACATCCCGAGCAGCCAGAGCAGCTGCGTGTTGGTTTTTAGGGAATAGCGTTGGGTTGAAATGCCGTTTGTTCTGCTTTTATCAAAGCGATGTCACTGGCAGGATTATTTACCCTGCACGCAGCCGATTCTTCCATTTCTTTTCCTCGCCATATCATGTTCCAAATCAGAATACGGAACGGTTGGGGCCGCTTCTGGTGTGAAATATCCTCCAGAGGATGCGCTCCTCCATGTCCTGCCTTTGACGGTCGATCTTGGAGCATGTATGCAATGGAAAGGAAGGAACTTTCCAAGGAGCTTTATTGCTTATTCAAATATTAATACCCCAAAGCTGCTTACCAGGAAAAGCATGCATGTCTCCAGTGGATTGATAACGCATAGGTTTACCTTTCCCACTGGGGCTTAATGCCCTTGGCAGACAGGATTCTATTTGCTACCTGCCTCGAACCATAAGGAGAGGGGTGTCATGCATCAAATAGTATTTCTACTACTAGTAGAATAATAATAATAATAATAATAATAATAATAATAATACGATATAGTGGTATGGTCCAATATAGCAATGCTGATATTGTACTATGCTAATGATACAATATATTGTATGTAATATATACCTTGTAAGCCGCTCTGAGTCCCCTTTGGGGTGAGAAGGCCGGCATATAAATGCCATAAATAAATAAATACTACTACTACTACTACTAAATTACAAAGCAGAATTTTGCAGGAGGCAGACACAAGATTTAAAGTGGGGTGCCAAACTTATACCTACTCTTTGAAATGGGATGAGATGACATCCTGTTGGGTCTACCTTTCTGAAATGCTATATATATATATATATATACACACACACATGTATATCTCTGTGTGTGTGCATACACACACGCGCACACATAGCCCATATGAGTACTTTTATGAGTATAATATAAGAATACCCAATAATCATCAATCGGGTCAATGCTATGTATGTGTGTGTATAGACACACACACGTGTATATTTCTCAGTGTGTGCATATACACACACATTTATTTATTATTTATTTATTTACTTTATTTGTATACCGCTTTTCTCAGCCCTTAGGCGACTCAGAGCGGTTTACAACAGTTTAGATATACACAATACAAAATCAATTAGGCATTTAAAAACAATAGCATCACAAGTCATTAACATCAGCATCAATACATCAATATAACAAATTCACTTACATCCTAAATGTGTATTTATATGAGTACATTATGAGTATAATATAAAATACCCAACAATAAATTGGGTCTACCTTTCTGAAATGCCATATACACATGCATACAAATACATACACATACACACACACACGTATATACCTCTGTATCTGCATATACACACACACACCCTATATTAGTATTTCTATGAGTACATTATGAGTATATTATAAGAATACTCAATAATCATCAGTCGGATTTTACGGCTTACTTTACCATAGCAGTTGCTGGGATTTTTTTAATGTTGTTCAAATATATTTCTAATTGATGGTTGGTGTTTTGCATTAATTATTGTTTATAATTACATTATATACTTTGCTGATATTATCTAATATGTTTTTTCCCATGGTCGTAAGCTGCTCCGAGTCCCTTTTTGGGAGATGGGGCAGGGTATAAATAAAGTATTATTATTATTATTATTATTATTATTTACTGACATAAAAACACAATATGACACAGCAAACGAGATATGTATGCTGGATTTATTACTACTGCTACTACAATTATTAATACTATTATTTTGTGTTGATATTTATGGCAAGCGGCCATTTCCCATGCCTTGCTATCAGCAGGGCTCAGCCCCAGTGCGCTGGAGGCTTTCGATAGGGTCTGTATCCTAGCAAAACAAGTGTATTTCTGAAATCTGCTTTTTTGGTGGGCTTTTGCTTGTCCTGGGGGCTTTCATGGCTAATGAAATGGCCGAGTTGTACAATTGCAGCAAAACAGGATCCCAAGGCACGACGACGTTGTGCCCCTGCAGTATTTTTGGCTACTAAATTCAAGATGGCGGGCGAACGCTCGTTCTGCGGCGCACAACTCTGGCCCTGAAAGCCCGGCGCCATCCCTGACGCGAAACCTGGGAGGGAAGGGGGTGGGGGTCCGCGGCGTCCCTCCTGCTTCATAGGCATGGGTTATGAGCCCATTGCTGCATAGAGTTCCTTGTTTGCATGCTGTCGGTGGCTTCTTCCCCTCGCTCTGACTGACGCGGCTGCTCTCCCCTCCTCCTCCCCGCAGGGCTTCGGATAACAGGGAGCGTGGTTATGAACACAGTGCCTATGGACACCATGAGCCCCGAGGGACGGGCAGCGGTGGTGGCAGCGGTGGTGGCGGCAGCGGCAGCGGCTTCGACCGGACCAGGCATTACGAGCAGGACTACTACCGGGACCCTCGGGAACGGACTTTGCAGCATGGGATCTACTACAGCTCCCGCAGCCGCAGCCCCAGCCGCTTTGAGGCCCACGACCCGCGCTACGAGCCCCGGGCGGCCCGGGAGGCCTTCTCGCTGCCCAGCGTGGTGCACAGGGACATCTACCGGGAGGAGCTGGCGCGGGAGGCCCGGGGCAGGAGGCCCGAGCGCAGCAGCTACCCGCACAGCCGCAGCCGCTCCCCGCACTCCTCCCAGTCACGGACCCAGTCGCCCCAGAGGCTGGCCAGCCAGGCCGCACGCCCCCTCCGCTCTCCCAGCGGCAGCGGATCCCACAGCAGGTCCTCCAGCAGCGACTCCCTCAGCAGCAGCACCAGCACCAGTAGCGACAGGTGGGTCCCGCAGGCTGGGGATGGGGCGGGGGTGGGTACGGGCTGCAGATCAGGGGTCCAACCTATTTCCATCCTGCCTCCAAAGGACCCTTGAATCCAGGGAGGGTGGCGGGGGTGATTCGTGGACAGTGGTTGGCACTCTTTAGAAGATTAGTATTGTTATTATTATTTCATGCTGACTCCATGGAAGAAGAATCCATGGAGACAGAGAGAGGTCTAACTGTGTATAATTTTTACACAGTGGTCAGCACTCTTTGGTAGTTGATTATTATTGTTAATATTATTATGTGTGAAATTCATGGATGGAGAATCCATGGAGACTGAGAGGGTAAACCGTATATTATTTTGCATAGTTGTCAGTGCTCTTTAGAAGTTGATTGTTATTGTTATTATTGTTATTATTCTTATGTCATGTTGAATTCATAGAAGGAGAATCCATGGACACAGAGAGAGGGCCAACCGTGTATTATTCTACATAGTTGTTGGGGCTCTTTAGTAGTTGGTGATTATGATTATGATTATGATTATGATTATTATTATTATTATTATTATGTTGAATTCATAGGAGAATCCATGGACACAGAGAGAGGGCCAACCGTGTATTATTTTACACAGTTGTTGGGGCTCTTTAGTAGTTGATTATTATTGTTATTATTATTTTTATGTCATGTTGAATTTATAGAAGGAGAATCCATGGAGACAGAGAGAGGGCCAACCATGTATTAGTTTACACAGTGGTTGGCGATCTTTTAATTGATAGTTGTTGTTATTGTTATTGTGTGTTGAATCCATGGACGGAGAATCTGTTGAGACACAGAGAGGGCCAACTATAGATTATTTTACATAGTGGTCAGCACTCTTTAGTAGTTTGTTGCTATGTGTTGAATCCATGGACGGGGAATCCATGGAGACAGAGAGAGGGCTAATTATATAGTATTTTACATAGTGGTTGGCACTTTTTAGTAGTTTGTTGTTGTTGTTATGTGTTGAATTCATGGACGGAGAAACTGTGGACATAGAGAGAGGACCAACCATATATTAATTTAGATCAGGGGTCCTCAAACTTTTTAAACAGAGAGCCAGGTTACATTCCCTCAAACTGTTGGAGGGCTGGATTATAATTCGGGGGGAAAAACATGAATGAATTCCTATGCACACTGCACATATCTTATTTGTAGTGCAAAAACATTTAAAAACAATACAATGATTAAAATTAAGAACAATTTTAATAAATGTAAACTTATTAGTATTTCAATGGAAAGTGTGGGCCTGCTTTTGGCTGATGAGATAGGATTGTTGTTGTTATTGTGTGCTTTCAAGTAGTTTCAGACTTAGGTTGACTCTGAGCGAGGGCCGGATAAATGACCTTGGAGGGCCGCATCCGGCCCCCGGGCCTTAGTTTGAGGTCCTCTGATTTAGATAGTGGTTGGAGTTCTTTAATTGTTGTTGTCAATGATGTTGTTATTACCCACGGTCAGGGAATCCGTGGGGACAAAGAGCTAATTATAATTTCTTTACTAGTAGTAGTAGTTGTTATTATTATTTCTTGAATTTATGAATGGAGAATTTGTGGAGACAGAGGGCCAACTATATACGTGTTCTACATTGTGGTTGGTTCTCTTTCGTTTTGACCCCATTTGGGTCCCCAGGTGTTATTGAACTGCAACTCCCATAACTTTTGATTATCTGGAGATAATGAGAATGGCAATCAAACAGCTCTTGTGCGTTTGAAGTTGGGGAAAAGTTAAAGTGCATCTTGCGGTTGTGCTTCTGTGAAGGATCCAGGGCTGGTGCAGGCCTGTTTGGAGACTGGGATTGGCCTTGGCCTTTGGTGGGACACTTCTCCAATGGATTGGGGAGCCTCCAGAGCCAAGGCGGGTCATCTATTGCTTCAAAAACATGGAGGGTGTCCATGTCTTTGGGGGTGTTTTCTCATCATGCGATTTTGGCCCATGGCACCACTGTCTTGTTCAAATCAGCCAGGAATACATGTTCGCACTTTGGTTTGCAAGCATTAGGCTGGTGCCCCTCCGGTTGTGAATTCAGTGCTTTTGTCAGTGTGGGCCTCAGCCAGACTGAAACCGTGAGCCTGTTTATTATTATGTAAGGCGTGTGATATGGTCCTGGGACTTTTACTGGCCAATGGAGATGGAGGGATGGGAGAGAAATGAGCGAATTGCAGTAGAGGCAGTAAGAGCACCTAAAGCTTCAGAGAGCTTCTGTTCGACCATTTCAAACCTCCCTGCTTGAGTGGTGATGGCACGATTGTTAGCATACTTGAAATCCTATGTCCCTTCTGGCAGTGGCTGGTCATTTGTGTAGATGACCAGCCACTGCCACATGGATGGAGCAAGCGCACTGGGTTCTGTTAAAGGCAAAACTTGGTTATTTATTTATTGTGTCAAAAGCAAGTTGAGGGTACAGTTGCAATGTACTGTATATACTCGAGTATAAGCCTAATTTTTCAGCACTTTTTTAAGGCTGAAAAAGTCCCCCATGTTTTATACTCAAGTCAAAGTTATTTATTATTTTACTCTGTTGTTGTTATTATTATTTTATTACATTTATTATTTTACTTTATTATTGTTATTGTTACATTGATTATTTTACTGTATTTATTGTTATTATTACATTTATAATTTTACACTATTATTACTGCTATTATTACATGTCTATTATATTATTATTATTATTATTATTATTATTATTATTACATTTATTACTTTACACTATTTATTATTATTGGAATGTAAGCACATTTACATTGAAGAAGGTCAGAATAATGGTTTAATCAGAGTTGGGCAGTCTTCTCTTAAATTACAGTTTTATGTAAATATTCAAAAACATTTAACCTGCAGATGCTTCATTTAATGCAATTGTATTGGTATCTATTTTTATTTTGAAATGTATTAGTAGCTGCTGCATTTCCCATCCTCGACTTATACTCGAGTCAATCCGTTTTCCCAGTTTGTGGGTGTCTCAGCTTATATTCGAGTTGGCTTATACTCGAGTACATACGGTATTTAAAAACACAAACAAGGTTAAAAGCTTGGCATGATGCTAAATGTCCTTTGACAAGAAGCTGGCCACTTGGAGTGCCTCTGTTGTGGCTGCGAGAAGGTCCTCCATTGTGCATGTGGTAAGACTCAGGCTGCATTGTAATACGTGGTCTGTGGTTTGCTCTTCTCCACACTCGCATGTCGTGGACTCTACTGTTAAGGTTGGCTCTGCATCTTGTGGTGCCAGGGTGCAGCCTCTTCAGCGCTTTCCAAGTCGCCCTGTCTTCTGTGTGCCCAGGAAGGAGTCTCTCATTTGGTATCAGCCACGGGTTGAGGTTCCGGCTTTTGGACTCTCTCTTGCTGAGATGTTGCTGCAAGTACCTCTGTAGATCTTAGGAAGCCATTTCTTGACATAAGGCATTGGTGTGTTGGCTGATATATGAACAGGGGATGGACGGAGATATCACTGCCTTGGTCTTTCATTGCTGGCTGCTACTTCAGGTGGTGTGATACCGATTAAACAGTGTCATTGCTCCAGTGGTGTAGACCGCAGACATCCCGTGATAATGCGACATGTCTCATTAAGAGCCACATTCACTGTTTTAATGTGATGCAATGTATTCCACACTGGGCATGCGTATTCAGCAGCAGAGTAGCAAAGCGCAAGGGCCGATGTCTTCACTATGTCTGGTTGTGATCCCCAGGTTGTGCCATTCAGCATCCGTATGATATTATTTCTAGCACCCACTTTTTGCTTGATAGTTGGGCAGTGCTTCTTGTAAGTCAGAGCAGGGTCCAGAGTGACTCCCAGGTATGTTGGTGTGCTACAATACTCCAGTGGGATTCCTTCCAAGGTAATCCTCAGAGCTCGAGATGCGTGTCTGTTCTTAAGGTGAAAAGCACATGCCTGTGTTTTAGATGGATTAGGAATCAGCTGGTTTCCCCTGTAATAGGCAGTAAGAGCACCTAAAACTGTGGAGAGTTTCGGTTCCACCCTTTCAAAGCTCCCTGCTTGGGCGGTGATGGCACGATCGTCAGCATAGATGAAACTCTCTGTCCCTTCTGGCAGTGGCTGGTCATTTGTGTAAATGTTAAACATTGATGGTGTGAGCTGTTTTTTCCCTGTAATAGGCAGTAAGAGCACCTAAAGCTTCAGAGAGTTTCTGTTCCACCCTTTCAGAGCTCACTCTTTTGGGCAGTGATGGCACGATCGTCAGCATAGATGAAACTCTCTGTCCCTTCTGGCAGTGACTAGTCATTTGTGTATAGTTAAACATTGATGGTGTGAGCTGTTTTTTCCCTGTAATAGGCAGTAAGAGCACCTAAAGCTTCAGAGAGTTTCTGTTCCACCCTTTCAGAGCTCACTCTTTTGGGCAGTGATGGCACGATCGTCAGCATAGATGAAACTCTCCCTTCTGGCAGTGACTAGTCATTTGTGTATAGTTAAACATTGATGGTGTGAGCTGTTTTTTCCCTGTAATAGGCAGTAAGAGCACCTAAAGCTTCAGAGAGTTTCTGTTCCACCCTTTCAGAGCGCACTCTTTTGGGCAGTGATGGCACGATCGTCAGCATAGATGAAACTCTCTGTCCCTTTTGGCAGTGGCTGGTCATTTGTGTAAATGTTAAATATTGATGGTGCAAGCCGTTTTTCCCTGTAATAGGCAGTAAGAGCACCTAAAGCTCTTTTGTGTAAATGTTGAACATGGATGGAGCAAGTATGCACCCCATTCTTCTGTCTTCGACATCTGATTCTCAGTCCCTGGAACTCAACAAAAAAGCTCCTGTTTTGTAGCAGATTTCCAATGAAGTGGATGAGGTGGTCGTCCTTTGTAAGTTATAAGTTTTTCCATAGTGAATCCTTGTTTTGTCCTGGCTTGGATTCTAGCAGGGAGGCTGTTTAATGGGAGCTTTTGGGTTCAATTCAAGTCTGGTCTGCATTTGGGAGGTGGACTTCGCCTGGCTTTCAGGGAGTTGCGTTTGCTTCTCGTTGCCCTGCATTGA